AGAGTGCAGCGATAGGTAGTGGCAGCTAGCGCTGCCATAGCTGTAGCCTAGCATGTGTGGTGTGTGAAGTGTGATACTGAGTGTTGCGTGTGGGACATCCAGGGTGATCCAGTGTGCGAACAGTGAGTTGTGTGGGCGCTCAGTCGCCATAGCCAGTTTGAAGAGAACTCTCATGTGGATACGATATCTTGAGTACTGAGTGGGCGCCTRTCGCCAATTTGCTGTTTCGCTGTTTGCATACATGACAAGTTGAATAATCGTAAGTGTGATTTCACACTGGCAACAGTGCACAGGGGTCTTTGAGGGCGAAACACATGCAAATAGGAAGCTGAGGGCAAAATTGCAAGATTGAGAGGACTGCGTGTGCAGGAAGGAAGCTGGGGGAACAAAATTGCAAGTCAACCATCAAAGGAAATATACGATATAAAAGTTCATATAACCGAACTTAAAAAAACAAACCAACTTTGGGACATCTGTTAAAATTGGAACGATACAGAGAAGATTAACATGGCCTCAGCGCAAGGATTCAAACTTGGGTCTGATTCATATTTCAACAGTTCGTGGGTGTAACAACTGAGCCAGGCTCGTTGGTGTTGATAGCTGTTTTGTTATCTGAACCTGGACAGATTCAGACCTGAGGCAACGACGCTACGGTCACGGTGGCTGCATCCGCAGGGAGTGCAACAGTTGGGCTAGGCCTATGTAGAGAGATTTGCTGTTGCTTGCAGGAGTCTTGAATGAATGGTGTCATCAACTTGGACGGCGGGATGAGTACCTGAAAGGCTGTAAGCCTGTAACCATGCAGGGGTGGAGTGGATGGCACAACCTTTACGACTCCGCTTTTCGAACACGGAGTTATGGTTCCAGTGGTGAAGACATCCACGTGCCAAGCCAAGGACTGCCACTTTGATTCCATGCAGCCTCGCAACCTTTCTTCCCCGGAATAGAACGTATGTCGTACGGTCCTTATCGCTGTATCTGGACTGAAAGTTGCACAAATACGGCTATAGTGACTGTACGACGTGTACATTCTACTCGGGGGAAAACGGTAGACTGCAGTTGCTCTGCTCACAGGCGGTAGGACTGAAAGGGCTAGTAGGCCTAAGACGAAAGATGCACCGTTGGCCGAGGGAGGCTCATGGCTGATGTCGTGAAGTTGGAGGGTGTGATGAGTGCTTGCGCCCGTGCATCGGTGGACTGGATGTCACAACCTGTCTGGGCCCGTTTTTTAACACCCCAACATGGTCGCAGGCGAAGACATGTGGCTGCCGTGCCACAGATTGCCAGTTCGATTCCATGCAGTGTCGCTAAAGACGGATCCAAGGCCAGAGTCGCCAGAGCGCGTCCAGACTGGTCAGCAGAAATTAGAAGACTGAGTGTGCAAAATGGGGGTGAGGAGAAGGACCCAGATGGAGCTGGAGTGGAAAGGTTTTCAGCAGCAAAACTTGAACACGATTCACAAAAGTGCACGCATCTGTGTACTCAAATGCCAAGTGTCAACAGACCAAGTTTGACCGGACGTTGACCGAAGCGTTGACCAAGTTTGACCGGAGGCTGTTGACACCTGGCATTTGAGTACACGATTCACACAAGTGTCAACAGCTCCATCTGGGCCTGTTGACACAACGTGAACACGATTCACACAAGTGTCAAGTTGTCAACAGACCCACATGGAGCTGGAGTGGGTTTTCAGCAGCACAAATGTGTCAACAGACCCAACGGGAGGGGAACGAAAAAAAAAGAAAAACTTCAAAAATGTGTCAATGTCAAGGTGTGCGCGACTGTTGGGTGTTCTAGGGGCAGGGTGGGCATTTGTTTTCTTTTTTTTTCCAGTTCTTTTTCCCCGAATGATTTGCACCACTTCTCGATTTATGTGTGTGCCATCCTTGCACAGGAGTCATGCTAATCTTCTCTGTGTCGTTCCAATTTAATTTAACTTTTAATGGATGTCCTGAAGGACACAGTGTGAGCATCTGTGTACTCAAATGCAGAACTGAATAATGCATCATCAGATGCAGAAATAAATGAATAATGCCTCTGATGTCAAACCTAAACTTGGGGTGACTCACAGCAGCTGAGAAGAGCAAGTACGAAACGAACTCCCAATTAGTAGTGGTGACATAAGTCCGGTCAAGGGTCCCTGGAGTCAACCAACTTCAGGAGTAACTTAAAGTCAATGAGGCCAGATTAGGCAGGGGTGAGGGGTGGTATATCCTTCCCACGGGAAGTAATCAATTCCGTCCACTCGGGCCGTCAAACCGTAATGGGAAGGAGCATAGAGTGAGTATATGATGTATTCCTTCGACTTGCCGGTCGAATAGGAACCACACTGACGCTGACCAGAATAGACATGGAGCCAGAACCATGAGGTTCTGTCATTTTTGGAGGAAAAAAAAAAAAAAGGCAAGTTTGGGAGACTCAGAAAAGCGAGCTGACGAGAAAGTAGCTTGACGAGTGGCCCAGCTCCGTTGGTACACCCCTGAACTGCTGAAATACAGACCCGAGTTCGAACTCAGCAGATGAGGAAGTGTCTCGGCATGGGTGAGTGTGGATGGGTGTGGGCGTGGGGGTGCATGGGTGGTTGTCTTCGGGTTGTCGGGGTGCTTAATGGCGGAGGAGTGTCGTGGGTGCCTGGGTGGGTGAGTGGGCATGGGTTTGTCTGTGTCTGTGTTCTTAGGACAAGTCCATGGTTGTGTGCATTTTTTCATGTGTTTCTTTTTTACTGTGAACAAAAGGGCACACGCTTTCGTTTTTTCCTTTTTCTGTTAACCAAAGGGCTCTTTCCAGAAGCAGCAGCTGCGTCAAGCAGTTGAGCCCAGGACGCAGGTGGTTTCCCAGGGCCTGGGTTGCGCCCTGGGCGCACGCAGTGGGAGGCGGACACATCACAAAGTGGCCGTGGGCCGATGAGAATGCAGCATTGTCGTCATACCTACCCCGCGGGCCAGTGCAAACACGGCAAACACTTGGAGCCTGGAGGCATCCTGGGTGTGCCCAACCGAAGAGGGCCCAGGCCCTTAACTGTAGAATCGGGGCTGGGTGCAGACACTCGGGGCCCGAAAGGAAACTACTGGAACCTTCCTCGGCCAGGCCCAGGCAACCCAGCAGGGCAGCTACTCCCATATAGGGAGTAGCTGCGATGCTGCACAAGTGTCTCCATCAGCGCTGCTGGCTGGGGCGCGTGCGGGTGCTATGAGGTGAAGTGGGGCGCTGCAGGGGCGCGGGCAAGTGATGGGTGACGGTGGTCTTCAGGAAGGAGGCGCATGAGTGGGTGGGCAGGGTCTGATGAGGGGAGACAAGAGAACGTATCTGGTGTATGTGGGAGGTCGGAATTGGTGTTGATGTCATGTACATTGGTCTTCGGCGGCGAAGTGAGGCTGAGTAGAGTAGGCTGGGCGCTGGGCGCCATACAGTAGGAGCGACATTGGATACTGCGTTGGTGTGGCCTGAGGGCTCGGACATTCGCTCAGGAGTTCATTGTCTCGCTCTGATTTGGATGGAATCTTTGAGCTCTCTGCTTGGTACATGACTATCTGGACTTCTGCGCGATTTTGTTTTGTTTATCGCTCTCGCTCATATTCCTTGCAATTTGGTATCGGAGCTGGTTCAAGTTCCCCATTACCTGGTGCTGGCGACATGACGATGCTTCTGTGCAGTAAGGATACTTTGGTGCGCGCTTGATTAACGACACCCGGGTAGAGTGGTGAGTTCACTGGAAGGCTGTGGCGATAGCGGATGATGAGAGCATGGTGATGTGGCATTTTGGCTGAGGTGGCACTTCATTGCCTTGTGGGTGGTACCGAGGCTACGACCAGTCATCGAAATGCACATCGGCTCAATTGGTGAGAAATCTGTGGTTGGTGGCAGCTATCTCCAGGTACGTTGTTCCCTTACCTTATCTTCCCTCTCAATCTCTTCTTACCGTGAGGAAGTGAGTCCAACCTTGAGTGTTCCCTTTTGAGTAAGGAGCTGTGAGCTCTCTATCTTGCGAGACAACATTCTTCGCGGTGGTGCTGTCAAGCGCATCGGCCCCCGCGTGAGCGAGGGCCCTCCCGGCTATGTCACATAGGAGTTAAAACAAAACAAAATCAAGAGACAACTTGGGAACGATACTTAACAACCCCGCGAACTGCAGAGACGGTCGTGGTCGCGTTGTCCCTTCGCCGCTCTAGCCGGGTGCGCCAGCTCTGCATCCCGCGGTCCCCTACGACAGGACAGGTTCTTGCGGGGCACATCTTACCTTCCCTAAGGGGATGTCACCACCCTCAGGGCGTATCCCTACCGAGCTACTGACCCACATGCGAAGGCTTTTTACATGCAATTGCAGAGGTAGGTCAGCCGAGGGCGTTTGCTCGCTCGCTGGAGTATAGGTACGCTTGATTAACGCCAAGTGGACCCCAACGTTGTCCGTCCCCTAGGGCGCTGATCTCCTAGGTACGAACGAACGTCGGTCCACTAAGACGGTTTCAACCAAACGCGAAACCCACAATATTATCCTAGTCCCTTTAACACACAGTCAAAAGAAATAAAATAAAACATCTGCATATACTTGCATAATAAAAATCAACCTTTGACCATCTCAGGCCAAACACCACAAAACAATCATGCAAACGTGGACAATAAGTGGGTTATCGACGATAATATAAATGCAGCCGACAGGATGGTCGGCTACCTTAGTTTGACTTGATGAGACGGGTTGCCAAAGTCATCCATTTCAGCCTACTGCCGACCTGAGACTCAACGCACATACCAGTCTTCATCCGTTTCCAATCTTTTTGGATGACAGGCTACTTTGCAGTTGATTATTAATTAGGGGCATTGCTTGAAGTGTTGCATGCCTCTCCCTCTAGGACGTGGTCTAGGGTACTCCTCCCCCTCGCCTGAGCCCGAAGACTCAGATCTCAGAAGTTGGGCCGTCACCACCGAGTCGGCAAAGTACCCCCCCCCACGAGTCGGGTCCACTCCAAGCCGATAACAAGGACGGCTCCAAAAGCATACGAACCCCCGCCTTGGATGCTTCATAGAGAAGAGAATGCGTTCACCGCAAGTAGTTTTCAATTATTCTCATTCCTTCTCGGTTCTCGGTAACTTAGACGTAAAGAAACTGAATGAGATAGAGAATGAGAATCATTTTGACAGGTACAAGTAGATAAAATCATTTGCGATAGACCACTCTCACGGTACCCGTTGAAATTATTCATTCCAAAATTCAAGTATTTTATCATGCAGGCAGGTGAAAGATTGAAAGAGAATAATCTTTTTCCTTTTCTCCAACAGGTAAGACCAATCTCCATAGCAAGCATCCTTCTACCTACCTGCAAAACATACAAAGAAAACAAGTTCAAAGGAGAACAGTACAATCCCATGCTCGAGTCAGACCACTCCATTCACATGCATGACTCACACAACTTTCTTTTGCCTTTTCTTTTGAACATTCGAAATGACAAGGTCAAGCAAAGTGTGGGTTCACACAGGTGTGAAGGGAAATCTGAGTCATTCAACTGACCTCGAGTGAAGTTTGGTCCGACCCACTCAAGAAAGTCGGGTAATATTCCAATCAAAAGAAAATGACTGCCGTAGAAAAATATGCGGCACACAACTCATAAGTTGTGGCCTTTCTCCTGAATGACGGTCCACGTCCTCCACCAAGTGATCAAGTGAGCAGAGGCTAGACCACACAAACTCAAGCTAGATAGCCCTCCAGGAGGGTGTTCCCAAAAATGAGTTCTCACGTGGTCTTAATGTGCCAGGCTGCCCTAACATAGTCCCAACGTTACTTCCCCCCACTAAGGATACTCTCAACCAATTGCAAGTCCACGCCGCCTCCAAGCACCCTGTCCGCTCGCGATAGCCACATGAACATGTCGGTCCCGCTCTCAACAACTAGTCCCACCTAGTCCCGAAACGGTCCCAGATGGTCCCAATGTTATCGTCGCATCACCGGATGGTACCAAACTCAAATCCCGCTTGCACCGCGTGCCGCAAAAAAATAAAGGTGGCCCCCGGTGAAACCTACAGGTGCCGCGAGCCCAAAAAAATAAAGGTGTTCTTCCGGCGCAACCGCAAGCGATCTCTTCATGCCGCCGGTCCACGCACCACTGCCGCACATTCCCAAATGTGCACCACTATCAGTCCATCCTCCAGGCCATACTGAAATCCACCATAACCGCTGCGTACCACAAAAATAACGGCAGACCACTTCGCTGCAAAAGTCTGGCAGCACTGTCGCTAGCCAGTGCAGCCGCCACAAAAATCCGGCACCGTTTTCGCGTCACAACCAAACAATTGCAACTACGCCGAAAAATTGGGCAGCGTTCCCGCAGCCTTGCCAAGAATACACTGCTGCCGCCGTGCAAAACGGCCAGAGTCTCCCCTGCACCGCTTGCCGAAGACCTGTCGCCGCCGCGCTGCGCAGGCAGCACCTTCTCACCACCTCTCCAGCTATGGCTGGCGTCACCGTGAAGGTCGCGCAGCACCTCCTCAGCACTTCACCAAGTGAAGTGGTGGCTATGGCAACCTCCACTCCCGCGCTCACGACAGTCCTCCACTCTACCCCACCTCTGTGCATACCTCCACCGTGTAGCGGACCTCTGGTTGGCCTGTGAGACCAGCCCCTTGGCCTGTTCTCACAGGCCTGTGTTCTATTCGGGCGCAGTCCAGTCCAGTCCAGGCCGGTACCTCTGTCGGTACCAGCCAGTCCAGTCCAGTCCGTCAGTCCGTTGGGGTATACCCAGCCATTGTCTGTTTTTCGGATTGATTCTTCACTTGCACATTTTGGAGTACGTGCGTTGGAGTCTTGCGTGGGGAGCTGCGTTGTGCCATCTCGCTCCCCCCTTCTTCCTCCATCTCCATCTCTACCACTAGCGGAGCACCACACCTGGTGGGTCCGCTACATTGGTATCCCAGCGGGAACGGTCCCCGCTCCCACCCACCTCCCCGCACACAGGGGAAAACAACAAATCCCGATAGCGGGATTTTTTGCTGTTTTTTGGTTGTTCCTCACGGAAAACAGAGGGAAAAAGGCGCAGCAGCAGGAGGGCTCCACGTGGCAAAAAAGGAAGTGACATCACGACGCGTGCGCGCTAGCGCCAAGGCCAAGGCCGCCGCCGCATCACGCACACGCACGCGCCACATGCCCACACTGCCCCGCCGCACCCCGCTCCCGGATATATCTATTTTCAAGATCCGGGATGCAGCTGCTGCCACTGGGGTTTGAACCCAGGTGCCTGCCAGGCCATGCGCGTGCGTAAGCAGCCTCATAACACATTCGTCACAGAGTGCCTATGGCCTTGTAGCATGGCACACTCGTGTTGAAGAGGTGCCGTGCTGGCTATTTCCCCCCCCCCCCCC